GGCCGTGTTAGAATGCTGGAATGTGATGAAATAGTGGAGTGTGTTTGAGCAATGGATTTTAGTAAAATGCAAAATTGTGATAAAGTGGTGGATTGTAGTAGTCTGGGATTGAATGATGGAGTGAGTCAGTACAGTAGAGAGTGATTGAATGGTGAAGTGTTGTGGAATCCTGGACTGTATTGTGTTATAGAAAAGTGTACTGTGGTAATGTGTAGTTGAATGGAGAAGTGCTAGAATGTGAACAAATGCTGGAGTGTGATCCAAATGCAAAGGGATGGTGAATTGTTGCAATGTACTAGAATGCTAAAGTGTGGAAGAAATGCAGGAGTGTGGTGGAATGGTACATAGTATGGTGACAGTGTTGACAAACCTAGGTTATGGATTCTTTACTCTTAAAAGAAATATATTTTTTTTATGATAAAATACAGGTTTTCCCAGGATGGGCTCTTTTATGATAAAACATCGGTTTTCCCAGACTGTAGAAAATTTTCATTACAGTTTAATTTGTATATTTTGTTTATTTTTCTAGTAGTCTTGAAATAGCCTACATGTTCAAACATATTGTAGCAACAGGACAAATCCACTTAAACTACCTATCATATTTATATGATACTGTGCACACTGTGATTTACATGATGTTGTATACTATATCTTTTATGTAAAATTTTTGTGTGAATACTACATAGTATGCATATTTCCTTGTTAGGACATGAGCCAAAGGTGATATCCAGGCTACTGAGTTTTAAGAGACATTTATCTTTTGGGAAAGACCTTGTAATGCAGTATTCAACCCTGGACAGGAAATTTAACCAGTTTTTCTTGGAAAGTTGTCAGTGGAAGGTAAGATCACTTCATTGTTACAGAACCTGGGATTATAGGATGAAGAAAAGGAGGTACATCCTCAAGTACATCTTCTCCACCAGGACCCCTGTTTAGTAAGAAAAAAAGTAACATTCCTTTCATTGTTGCATAATAGGAACACATTAAAACAGATCCACATATTATCTCTTATGCTGGTTATTTCCCTGTTTTAAGTAAATAAGTATTTTCAGATTTCAATAACTTTTGTATTTGAGGGACTTAGTATCCTCAGTCAACCAAAACTTTCTTCATCTGATTACTTGATTAACACATTTACCCATAATTTCAAGTAATGGGGAAATCAAGAGTGGTCACTATGGCCTGCTGGTTGTGCACATATGGAGCCATCTGTATGTAACAAAATTCACAAAAAAACAGAGGGAAATCTGTAGTCATTGGGTTAAGTAGCCTACTAGCAAATTTGTGTTCAGTTCAGAGAATTTTTTTTTCCTTTAGACCTGTTTGTACAAAAATATGAAAGACATGGAGAAACTATTGAGGTTACTGAAAGGGAATATTCAGGGTTTGTAAGATAAAGTATTTTTCTGTTTTTTTTCATTAAGTATTAATTTTCTGTTAACTATTATAGTAGTTTTCTGTTATTGTTATTCTTGTTACCTATATAACAAATCTAATAATAGTTACAATTCTATATAACTTAGCTGAGTTACCATCATAAAATGTCAAGCTAAAAAGAAACAGGAATACCTTTTTTATTGTTAGTGATATATTTTTACTGATAATGTTGTATGTATTCTTGCAAGAAGTGTAAGAAACAAAATAAAAAACTCTTGAAATAGTGCCTGCAAGAATGGCATTTTGTTTTGTTGCAATATGCAAAATTGAATTTTAAATGCTGAAACAATTTTTTTATTATTGTATAATAATGATGAAACCGCTTTATTTGTCTTTTTATGTAGCTAGTAAAGTTGAACTCTATAAGGGATAAGTATGTTTTTCCTTTTTTGTTTATCATTGTTTTTTTTTATTAATAATAAAAAATGTAAATATAGTTTTTTTTTTTACTAAAAAATCCAACTTGGGTGAGTAAGTGAACAACTATCCAAGACTAACCCAAGACTGGTAGGATGCTGGAGTGTGGTGGAATGTTGGAGTGTGGTAGAAAAGAAAGATGGAAGGAAGGATGTAAGGAAGGATGGAAGGAAGGAAAGAAGGAAAGATGGAAGGAAGAAAAAAGGGTTGACAGAAAGAAAGAAAGGGAGAGTTAGAAAGAGGAAGGAAGGAAGAAACAAACAAACATGGAGGAGGAAGAGAGGAAGAGATCAGGGAAGGAGAGAGTGACATAGAGGAAAGGTGAGAGGGAGAAAGGGATAGAGAAGGAAAAAGGAAAGAGGTAGTAAGTTCCATTTCTTTTCTTTTAATTAGATTTTTTTTATATTTCCCAGGTATGCTAAGGCAAGGATGGCAGCAAAGGAGTTTGGAATGATACAGTTTGGACTCACAACATTTCGCTTCATTCAAAAAGAGAAGACGTAAGTTTTTATCACTGACTTTCTGGTAGTTTACTTAGATTCCTTTATTCAAAGTTTGAAAATATAATTGTTGACAAGGAAATTTGGATGAATGAGTGAGTAATAGTAATAATAAAACAAAATATGAAAAGTGTATTTGTAGTTCATAAATTTGCAGGCTTCCAAGGATAGTTGTCTTTGTATTAAAAAAATATGTGGTAGGATACATAATTGTAAGATTAAACAAGTACTTGCCAATTATGAAGATTAGTTGTAATTTCATGAGCATTTGAGTGCATCACTTAGACATTAAATGAGATGTTTCCCAAGCATTCCATGAATCAGTCTTTAAAGTGTAGTTTTGAGACTATATAAAAAAGTCACAATGTATCTACTAAACACTTTACAGGGGTTATGAATGGGTGTGCATTTAATGTCTAAGTGATGCAGTCAAATGCTAGTGAAATTATGCTTAATCTTTATACTTGGTAAGTACTCGTTTAATCTTCCGTTTTCACTTCGCTCATTTGACTGCATGCTTAGGTACCCAATAAGAGCTTCAGAGCTCAAATCTACTATAAAAAATTAAAAACTATTACATAGGACAGTTCAAAGATATTTGAAAAATAAACATTTCTTATTGTACCTTTACATGCAACACATGTAATATAGAGGTTATAATTGTCTATAGTAAACTATGATGCTAACACAGCATCTGCAAGCTGTAACTTGTTGACGGGTTTATGATAATATGTAGAAAAGGTAGCTTCCCTTGGCCATCCTATTGTCTTTACAATGGTTGAAAATGATCAGTATCTTGCTGCCTTGTGGGATGAGGCAGACCTGGTAGAGTGAGGGGAAAAGACAGACATATCAATTCCAGTGTCTTTCATTATATCCTTTATCCAGCATCTCATTTTCCAAATGGTTTTGTTGTTAACAACCAAGAAGTTACTTTCCCTTGTGAATTTAAAGTTTTCTTTAAATAATTTTTGAGAGTTGTGTGCACACACAACCTTCTATCTAATCAATAGGCTGTAAAGTTTATTTGTGATAGATGATCCCCTGACCTAGATGTTTTAAGGTCTCCCATCGTAAAATTTACCTTAGATCATGTAATCTTCATATTTCTAATGTGTGACAATGTTGCCTGGACTGTGAAGCAACATTAACATTACTAATTTCCTGTATGATTGAATTTAAACCCAAAAGTCTTAATATAATCCAGCATAATTTCAGGTTCCCATGATATCATAATGAGGGAGAGTAGGCCTCATTTTGAAAAATGGCATTCATGACTCTGGATATGTTGACCTGCAAGGTTGCCATCTACATTTATTGCACTATATTTTCTATTTTTCCCTTTAATTTCTTCCAAAAGAAATTCCAAAACATGGCTGAAATGGATCAACCTTCCCACTAAATCAAAATGACAGCCATCCTTGGATAGGAGATCTATACTGTTGTTTTGTCTTCTTTCTCCACAGTCCAAGTAAAAATTCTGGTGAAAGGCATTTAGTTTCAAGTGAATTCCTGATGATACTATCGCCGTTAGTTTTAACTTCTCTGACTGCAGATGTTTGTGCACTGGATGGGAGAGAGATGCAACTTAACCCATTCGCCACGGAATTATGTTCAGTCCTCTGTAGTTTTTGATGAATTTTGTTACCTACAGATGGCTCCACATGTACTCAGCCGGCAAGGAGTCTATCAGTAGGCCCTAGTTACCGACCCTGATTCTCCCATTCATTGAATTGGCGGGAAAAATAATACCAATGCTATCGATACTGTTATTATTGTTATTGATGTTATGATTATTAAATTGTCATTAGAATATTTTAGACAATGAAATGATACAAAAAAACTTTTCCTAAAGTGAAGGAAAAGGGTAAACAGGTGAAATAGGTAGTTCTTGATAACTGGCTGTTTAAGAACTTGTGGAGCCATCTATGTGTAAATACAATAAATAAACGTGTCTCAAAGTGGGTATGGCATCTATTCTTGCCACGTGTGGCGAATGGGTTAAGGAGAATTACCAGGACAGTTGTCTTATCCCCTTGGATCTTTCCTAACACTCTCCCTATGATACAGAAAGGAGGAAAAGCATCATTTACTCCTCTAGACCATGATAAGGCAAAAGCATTAGTGTGGTAAGCTTCAGGATCTGGTTTCTAAAACACATTTGTTTACTTGAAAATTAATCTTAGATGCAAGTACATCTAAAGCAGGTCTAAAGAATTTTCTGCATAATATATTAAAAATGTTACAATTCATTTTCACATCCAGGAATATGTTCAGCTGAGAGAGTAATGTTTCTCATATTTGCTCATTCAAAGATTTGGTTAATAAGGATACTTTAGTGCTTCCACAGTGATCAATTCAAGCTCTGGTGATCATATTGTCTGATCTTAGTCTGATATGGATATCTTTATGATCTTTGCATCCATATTTAATTCAGATAGTCAATTCGAACCAGTTTATGTGATCTAGTTCTTTGAAATCCCAATGACCACCTGTCTGAGAAGCATCTGTTCTCATTTCAAATTCAGGAGGGGAATTCCTTAAAGTTTTATTCTGATACTGTACATTGTTAATTCCCTAGTCAATCAAATCATGGGCATGTTCATCTAAACAAATATCAACATTGTAGTCACATTTTCTTTGAAAAAGACCCATATTTCTTACTATTTCCAAATATTTATATTTCATGGGGGCTTGAGGAACTGCAATACCTGCAAATATAACTAACCCAATGAAGTATGGCAATTCATATATAGAATTAGTTTCTCTACTCAATGCATCAGAAACTCTGATGCGTTGAATTTTTCCTTTTGGTAATGTTATAGTCATCTCAGCAGCGTCTAATATAACACCAAAAAATCCTATAATTTGAGTGGGCTTTAGTACCAACTCCTGTACATTAATTGTCAGCCTTAATGAATAAAAAAATTGCATTGCATAATCAACAATACAAAGTAGTTCCTCCTTTGACTATGCAATGAAAATGCAATCATACATATAGCAGGAGAGCAACAGGCCTAATGTTCCTAATTGTATTAAAGCAGGCTTCAATAATTTTGTGAGTATTATAGGGGCTGATGATAAGCCCTGAGGAAGAGAAGTAAACTGATAATAATCATTCTTCCAAATAAAGCGTAACCACTGCTGGTCCTCTGGTATAACACATAGTGAGAAGTGAGTATGCCTGAAGTCAATGACCATAAAATAACAGTTTGGAGAGATCAGCTGGAGTATGTCTTTAATAGTATCCATTTTGAAATGACCATATTTAACAAATTCAATAAACTTTTTAGATTTGATGTAACTCTAGCTTAGCCATCTTCTTGATGACTTAAAAAATTGAGTAAAATCCTTGATCTCTATCAGCTCTCCAGCATTTCTCCCCTATACCACATTCAATAAACTCTTGCATAGCTTTGTCAAGAGATTTCTGATCATTGTGATTAATGAACTTGGTATGTTATTTTTAATTGGCAATTGATCAATTTAATTACCTTCCTAACAACAATATCATATATATATATATATTTGTATGCTTTGTGGTGCAGTGGTAGCGCTCTCGTCAAGCAATCTTGCTGACCTACGTTCAAATCCCTTGTCACCAGTGGATGGTAACCCCAGCCATTCCTTGCACACAGGGAATTTAGAAGCAAAAATGAGACAGACACTATGTCACACCAAGAATATCCATTGTAACAAATAGAATCAAACTAAGTTATTATAATTATTAATTAACCCATTGCCGCCGGGGATGGCATGTACGTACATGCCATGCCCACTGTGAGTCAACTTGTTTGATTGTTTTTACACATAGATGGCTACACTTGTACTAAGTATCCAATGAGCCAATTACGAATACTACTTGTCTCGCCCGTTCACCCTTTTCATCGATTTACAAAAATATTTAACGTTATCCTAATATGCTGTTAAAAATGACACCATCTATATTTATAGCACTAATAAGAATACGTTTTTTCCCGCCAATTTGAGGAAAGGTGAAATCAGGACTAGCAGAGCCATCTATGGGCAGAGATATTTCACAAAAATATAAAAAATGAGTACAGTATTTTCCCCATTTTTTGTTCATTTTCCCCGGCGGTAATGGGTTAATTGTCACTAGGCCGACATCATAAGCTCCAATTCAAAATATTGATCAAGTTAGCCGATAATGGATCACCTTTTTCTTCTCCACCATAGAAGGACCAAGACAGGCAGTGCTTGTTGCAGTAGGCATGGCATACATGTACATGTCATGCCCGTCGGCTTTAGGTTAATTGATCTATCTTGTCACTGGTAGTTTGCGTACAAATCACTGGAGCCAGTAGAAGGAGTCGGATGAAGATCTCATTGTTGTACTTTCATATTTCCTTCATTTTCCTTCACTTTAGAACTATGTTCCTTGGAACTGTTCTTATCTTTCTTGTTTGATGAATGCCTTGGCTCTTCACTGTATTTACTGCCTTGTTCCTACATTCCAGCTGCCAAAAGATAAACAGTGTCGTTTGAGTCCAAAAGACTTCAAAGGTGATGATAGATTTCCAAGTCAAATATATTAACATCTCACTGTTAAACAAAAAACAGAGAATTGATCGCTTACCATTCAGATCTTGAACAAAGTCAAATCCAAAAAAGTCCATGAAAAAAACAAATTTCTCCAGACTGCAAAGAGGGGCGGAGAGACATGTTAGCTGTCCCAGACCGACAAATGAACTGATTCATGGAACGACCAGGGAACATCTCATGGGTGTAGTCAAAGGAGCACAGTGAAACTTTGATTAGTAACCATATTTCCATAGTAGCTTCAGTGAATAACCAAAATTCTCTCCTTTGTTTTAGAAATGACAGTAAAACCAATTTTACACAAAATAAGTTTATTAGAAGGTGAGGCTGTTTTAAAACCAGGTGGATTTGTGAACTGTCATCTCTTTTATTTATTTTTGTGTGTGTGTGTGTTGGTGTGTGTGGTATAAGGTGAAGTATTCCAATTTATTGTGAAGTAAAAATAATTTTGATTATTTTTTCAGGTATTCCCATGCCACTTTCTGCTTCTACATTTTAGGGAGGACTGGAGAAATTTACGTTTATGACAACAGTAGCCTCAGATTTTTGGCAAATAATGGATTTGATTTTGCCAAGTTATATAAAG